TATTCTGATATTTGAAAATTTATGAAAAAATCTATAAAGCTTAAGGCTTGTTTATATAAAAAAGGTGGCGAACCGCCATTGACTCGATGTCAAATATCTAAATTTATATCGATTTCAAGCTATATTTTTTCTGACTGTACTAATATATACCAAGAAAGTGGACAAGGCCAGCTGAGTTGTCCTGGGTTAGCTTTATTGCTGTGTTTAAAATATATAACCTTAGTGTCGGCTACAGCCGTTGAGAATACTGTGCACACAAACGGGATACAAACTGAGCACAGAACAATGAACTATAATTTATATGCCTCGAATTAATTTAACTCACGGCTACCAAACTTATCACCAGCTGCTTACAAATGAAACACGGCACAGGACACACACAGATACCGACTCGATTCGGGCTCTCAGTCTTGGTTTAAGAATCGAGCTCTGGCTTCCTTAGAGCACGATTGTGCCCAAAGAGCTTGTGCGTATCGCTTGTAACTGCGGCAAATGCAACTCTCATTGGTGTAGTTGCAATATTTAGCTAAAATATGCTACACTTTCACCATTTTGAGACAGCCGACTCCCTTGCTCCTACTACAACAGCCTGTATAATTTAATAAGGTTTGGCAAATGTATTGCTAGGCACAGAGCACACACAACACACACAAGTTGCCTGGCTTGTGCCTTGTGTGCCGTGTGCCTGCCTCTTATTGTTGCACGTTTTGTAGTTTTCGACAGGTGGGCTGGGCCATATAATTTCATTATACCCTGGAAGAGGGTATAATAGCAGTCTCGTAAACTTTGTAATAGCCTGCAAAGGGCACAGTCTAAATATTGTTGCTCTGCTACATGGTCTCTGATGTCTATGGTCTTTCTTTTCATGTTCTCAGCTTCAGCAGCAAAATGTTATTATATATCCTTCATAGAACTTGTTTTGCATATTGTATTATTGTTTCTGAAATTCAAATTCAAATTTTCCAAAAAAAAATATATAATTCGAATTTTATGATAATTTTTCTTAAATTAAATTTACACAACGCGAACTGGACTGGAATTTGTGTTTGAGAGGGAGAAAATGAGTTTAGTTTTTGTTGTCTTTTGCAGAAAATTAAAAGAAAATCTTTTTCTAAATACTTAAGCCGTATCAATTTGATAGTGTATGCGCAGTTCGTGTTGCAATAGCAATTTGTTATTTTTGTTAAAATTGGCCTTCAAGCATTTGTCGGTCGTCTGGTGTATAAACTTATATTTCATTTGTGCGGCTAATGCAATACGTTTGTGCCTTATAAATTACTTAGTAGCGTTAAAGTGCTGAAATGTTTTGTCGGTTAGTTGTGCTGGCATTTGACTTCCTAGACCGGTTCATAAATTTCAATTTATCTTTAGACTTTCCTTTCTTTATTTATTTCCAGATGTTGACAAGTAACATTAAGCCCGAGGCCCGACGCCCGAGGCCCCTTTTCACCAGGCAGGCAACCCTTTGCACCCCTTCTCCAATATAAGCTTAATGGAATGTGTGCAAGGCACAGGGAAAAAAGGTTGCAAACAACTACAGCCACAACGGAGAGTTTAAAAGGCTTTCTCCCCCTTTCTTATTTCTTTTTCTTGACACTCAAAGTAGTGCAACATTTTATGACAGACCTTTTGCAGTTTCGTCTGACGACTCAAGGCCAGGCAAGGGATTTGTGCTCAAGGATAATTTCTTTAAGAGCTTCAGACTGACGACACAACTTTATTGGGGGGAATTAAGGTGTTAAACTCTCAACGAGGGATAGAGTGAAGCATGCAAATGCTCTTATATATTCTCTGTGAGCTTTACACAAATTTAAATTAAATATTTCAGTATCTATGATTAGTAGCAAAGGAACTGCAATAATTCTTTGAAATATATAAGATAAAAACCCATTTTAATTAAAACCTACTTTAAAGCTTAAAGATTATAGCTTTGCATATAATTGATAGCTTTTCTTTGAGGACATCAATTACAAACTCGTTTTATGGCACAGCTTAAATTTTAACTTTCACTCTTTTTTCAAACTATCGAAACAGGCAACTTAATCAATTTAGGCAGCATAACACCATCCCACAGGCTTTTGTTTCGGCGTTCACGCTCCTCCCCCTTTTTGCTACACAGCATTGTTCCATTCAAGAAGTTTTCATTTAAGTTGGACACGCCCAGTTTTTCCACCTACAGCCAGATAGAGCCGGATAGAAAGCTCCAAGCAAGTGCATGAAAAGTTCAACACTAGACAACAAGCAACAAAAAATAAAAAACAAGAGCAAAGGCTGTAAAGGTACAAAAAAGTTGTACTCATTAGCATGCGGCTGCTGCCTGGAGTATGTCTGCCGTGTGCTCCTGCTTGGATGTCCTGGTTGCAAGAGATGCTTATGCGTGAGCTACTTTCAACAGCAGACGCCAGCAGCCATTCTGCCTGCACTCATTTGGATCTTGTGGGCGTTGGCCTAATCTGGAAACCCAAGCCAAAAACGAAAAGTTTTGCTAGCCAACTCAGACCCTCGAGATGTCGTCTGTGGTTTGTGTGTGCGTCCGACGCTCTGTCAAAAACTGTCTGCATCACTGAAAGCGAAAACCGATGGGCAACCCAACTAAAACCAAATCCAAACTTAGCCCAACTCCCAGGCCCAAACCCAAACCCAAGTCCCAGCCAAGCCGCACTTGCTAGTCGAGCTGAGTGCAATTCACATGCATAGTTTTTCGAGTGCAATTAAGTGAAATTTGTATTAGTTGTGTGTGGGTGCTGCTGTCAGGATGTAAGGATATAAGGATGTGAGCTTGAGAGCTGCTGAGGAACATGTGCCAAGCGGCGAAAAGTATTAGCTAAAGGACGACACGAGCTGTAGATAGGACTAAAACAAACTTGGACACGTTGCATTGGGCAACCATGTAAGCCACGTGGCATGTAGGTGGAAAAGTAAAAAGGGCAGGGGAAAGAAGAAAGGGCCTCTCCGAAAGTTGTCGTTTGCTTCTCTGATAATGTGGCTAACATGTAACACGCGCTCGCATACAGAGCATGTCATTAAAAGTTGTCCCCCCCCTCAACCGCAACGCCCACCGCAGCGCACTTTCCACAAGCGGAGGACAACTAATTCTTTGACAATAACTTTTTGGTTTGTTACAAGCGGCCAAATAGTTGCCGAACCTAAAACTTGAAAAGGTTATTGGCTTTCTGGTATTGATATAACTGGTTCTTGATCAATACCAAAAACTTGGAACGTTGGAAATAAAGGAATATGCAACAAAGGAATTATAAACAATAGAGCATATAGCGTACCCAACTTACCGGTATTTGTACTTTTAGTTCTTGATAACTGGATGATATACTAAGAATTTGGTTTCAGGTTTTCTGGTATTAATGTCAGCCATTCTTGACAACCTTATATAAAATTACACTTATAATTCAAGGAAACTGAAATGCTGGAATTGAAAAAAGCTAACTATGGAATAATTAAAATTGAATTGTGAAAATGAATTGTGCATAGCTATATAGTATTGATTAGATTCTTGACAATTTTATAATGAATAAAATTTCTAATTCAGAGAAACTGAAAAGCGGGAAATATATGATGTAGACTATACCGTGACTTCCTGGTATTAATAGTGAGGATTTTTTGCCATTTAATAAAAAATTAAATTTTTTATTTAATGCAACTAAAATCATGGAAATAATTAGAGATTCTTAGCAACTTATTAAATATAACATTTTTAATATAAAAAAATTGAAAATCCTGAAAGTAAAAGAAGAATACCCTCTCTACTCTCTTTTTCTTATTCAAAGCAATTTAAAAAAAAGGACATGATTGTTTCTAAGAAACGAAATAAAAGAGCACTTAAATGAGAAACAAATGGTGAGAATGATGTCTAGGATTTCCAGCTATTGATGTTACTGGCCCTAGACAACTGTATCAAATACCAACTTTAGAATATGGAACATGAGTTTGAAATAAAGAAGTATATACAAAATCATAATACGGGACATTGTAGTTTACAACAAGGACAACTAAAAACTATAGACAGGGATGATTGAAAAAGTGTAATATGGCATACAAAACTATTTATTTATTCATGTGTACCAAACTTTCCGGTGCTACAAGTATGGCTCACAATTCCTAAAAGGAATGTAAGGCCCAAAGAACTGGTCATGAAAATTCAACAATAAAGTTTAAATTTAAAGCATTTCAAGTAAAGAACAAACACTTGAAAACTTTTGAATTTAAAACACATCGAACAGACACGCGCCAACTTGCTGCTAAGCATTTTAAAATGTATTAAAAAGTATATTTTATGATCTTGTTTCACCAATTTTTTAGATCATCAGCTTAAGTGTGGCATTTTTGAATGATTGGTATTTCATATGTCATTTGGCACAGCCAGAAATGTCCTTCAAGTTGACAAAAGCCGTCCGCAAACGGCAGCCGCAATATATATTTACTTTAAAGCAGACACACACACAGACAATAAAGTTTACAACATTGGGCCATCACATAAGGAGGACAGAGAAGGAAACAGGCCAAGACAAAATTACGTGAAATTATGTTTGCACAAGGGGGTTGGGCCAATGCCGTCCGTGTCCAGGGTGTGCACACAGGATCCCGACCTGCTCCGGTGTATCCAATTCCATTAAAATCAATTTGTCTATTTATTTAACCGATAATCTGCTGAAGCGGTTGGCTGTAAAATTTCGCACCCCAGTGCTGGGAATTGTGCACGACAGGATATAAAGGAGGGTCTACACCTCAAAGACCTCTAATTTGTCAACATCAGGCGGCGAATGGGCAGCACTGGACAGGTAAAATGTTTTAATTTGACCAAAGTCTCGCCTGCCCAGTGCCGATTTATTATGGTCAGTACGTTTGGGTCCAACGTATGTCGTTTTCTTGATGGCAGTCAACAGCCATCATTGGGAATATATAAATATATGCATCAGGAGATAGCCCGTGCCTAGGTCTGCATTTCCTAAACATATGTTCTTATATCTATGTAAATATGTACTTACCTGAACATTCACATACGCACACAGAACTATTTTATTGCCATCTATTTGCTGGAGACAGACTTCAATATATCCACATCAATGACATAAAATAAGAAGTAGAGAGTTAGTTAAATCAAGAACAAAAAAAAAAAAAAACAGAAAAATGAAAAAAGAGATAGAGTGCGAGGGATAGATAGAGAGACAACAGTATGAGCTGAGTTGAAGTTTATTAAGTTGCCAACACAACTTTTTAATATAATACTTTCAATCAAACCATGAAATCCTGCCAGCCTTACTTGAATTCATGAGAATCGCAGAGTGAGGCAATATTTATGAAAATTCCTTTGTTTTTTGCATGTAACGTAGTAGAAAGTAATTTCGTTCTGCCTTTCGTTGTCAAAGTTTTAATCTTGTAATTTTGAATGGTTTTAATAAATACAGAGTGTAACATATTACATTTGTGTACATCCCTCCAGGTAACTTGTCGCTTTTTTACGACACTATTAACATCATGTTGTATGTGATTTACGGTTAGCGGTCAATAAGCATTATGGCCCTTGCCCTTTGAGCCATTTTTCCCTGATGATTTTGTTTGTTGTTTTATAGTATTTTTATGGTCAGCCATCAAAATAGGCGGAGGCGACCTCGCACGCTGCAAAGTAGGCTACAAAAAATGCTTGTAAAAGCCATTAACGAAGAGTCAAGTGAAAATGGCCAACAACAGCTGCTTTGTTGATTTTGACATATGAGAATGATAATGTTAGCTGGCCTTAATTGTACCAGACACAACATCACATCCGCCTTTATTTTAATATACTCTTCAGGCTTGGTTAGATGGGGTGTATTTGATTGCGCAGGGTTTTTGACATGTGCAAAAAAAATCAGTTTAAGTTCGTTAAGTTCAATTTTGCTTTTGATTTTATTAGATCTTCGTTTTCAACCCATTTAAAATAATTTTACGAACTTAATTTTTAGCTATGTTCAGCTTTGGAAACTAAATTTTGCTCTAATCGATTGAACGGAAAGCTTACAAAATTGTAGAAAAATTATTCTTTTAAACATTGTCAGAAAAATGACATGCACAGTAAATTATTTAGAAATTATCAGATTAAAAGACTTGCTAGTCGAATGTAGAGTGTTTTTCAATGTTAATAATTTAGTTGTTTATTTTTTAGGGATTTCATGTTCTTTGTTTAATGGGCTAAACGCGTTTGCTCACTTAGCAGTGCGTTTAGCCTGCTGCTCGGTTTTTTCTAGCAGAGAAAGCCACCACCCCAATCTGCGGTACATCAATCAAATGCCTCCACAGCACTTAACAGCCACAGGAGCCGACTGACTGCTGGGCAGCATCTGGACAGCACAGTTGGCACTGGGTTCTGCTTCAGTGCTTAAGTGTGCTGAGTTGACAGTTTTCTGCATTATTTTTATTCTCTTTCTATGCTGGCCTGGGACGCGGTCACTTGAAGCGCAAATAATTGAAATTAATAAATTGAATTTAATTGAAAAGCGTTGGACAACTTAGGCACTTAAAGGCAGCAGCCAGCCAGCCAGTCATCTAGCCAGGCTCGAGAGTCAATGAGTTGTGCTCTCAGCTGGGCCTTAGTTTGTTCGCAATGGTTGCCTGGAAAGCAAAGCAGCCGCCGGGCTGTCTGCATTTGGCTGGCATGGCCGACGTCGCCTTTCAATTTCAATTTCCGCTGCACTTTGCATAAATCTTTTATCGTTTGAAAGATGGCAACAACTTGGCAAGGTTTTTGGTTGGGCTTGTGGGTCCGTTTTGTGCAAACATTGCGACGGTCTGCGAAAGCTAATCGTCAGCTGTGCACCATTCATTCAGTGAGCACGCAGACCATTTGAATTACAATACGCTTGGTCGAAACTTCCTGCAGCTGCAGGTTGAGTTAAATATTTTTTGGGTAGCAGCCTTGTCGAGTGCATTTGTTGCATCCCGTTTACCGTTTGCTGTTTCTTTTCATTACGTTTTGCTTGAGAATTATGCGAGCAAACAAGAAAGCAACAGCAGCAGCAGCAGCAGCAACAACTCGACGACTAACAAGATTTTCGACTCCCTGGCCAACATGACGTATACGCAAGTTTTTGCTTCATGAAACTTTCTAAACCAAAAATTGTTTGGTTAAATTTAATTTATGGACTTGCAAACGCAAAAATACAAAACTACTTTAGCATCAACGGCACTCGAGTGTAAACCACAAGTCGTACAACATGCCGTATGTGTAATCCCAGCATGTTTGTGTGTGTATGCTTGACATTTATGAAAAGTTACTTTTGGCCTGATTAGGCCATGTGCATGAACCACTGGCTGAGTCATTGATCTAGAACGCTTTGGCCAACAGCCTGCCTCCCTTTTTGCAACAATAAACAGAACAATTAGGGCAACCTATCAGTCAAGGCATTAAAATCATTTATCAAATAGACAAAGCGATTTCAAAGTCAGTTAATTTCCAGCTTTTAAGCTAATGCTTAACAAAAACATTTAATTTAAGGGTTTGTAGGGAAATAAAAAATAAATTAAACTTAGCTTCTATTAAAAATATTATGTTTCAATTATATAATTTATTTCTTTAACAAAGCTAATCATTTTTTAACAACTCAACATGCCATTAAATAAATTCTTTATTGAGAGATATTTACCAAAATTGTTCAATATCATTTTCTGGCCACTTGACAGCTCATAAGCTGCACGTTGATGTTGCCAAATGGCAACTCCGAAAATAAATAAATATATATAAAGCAGCATTATCAGCAGGCGCTGTTCAAGGAGGCTGTCAGCAGCTTGACGGCTTAATTATAACATTTTTTGTTGAAGCGGGCTTTTTACTCTTTATTAATCGTTCAACGTTATGAGAGCCAGAGCACGAGGGCATGGCTTTAGATTGAGAGCTGCTACATTATGGCTTCAGTTTGTATCAAGGGAGTTTGTCTATTTGTTTGTTAAGTTGAAGGCGTTTTTGATTAATTGACGGGGCCGCGAGGCAAGTGATTTATTGGGTGTTCTCACCTGTCGTCCGTTTTCTTTTTTGTTGAGAATATAACATAAATATACATATAAGCAATTGATGGCCTCAACTTTATCATAATACCCCCAAGTTCTTCTCGTAAGTATATTTTTGTGTGGTGCGCGCGTGTGTGTATGAGTGTGTGTGCTATAGGCTTACCAAACCAGTTAGTCAAAGTGGCAGGGAAAGCCTTTCGCAGCAAATTTTACAGCCAGACAAAGTTTGCACGGCGAACGGCAAAGTTTTTACAAATTCCAAATTGGCGGTCGTTGTCTCAGCTGTTATTTTTAGATAACACCCAAAGCATACTCTGCGCCCTGACTAAATCCCATCCGGCCATAAGCCTTTAAGTCAAATCAAATATCCAAATATGTGCGGCTGCAGTCGTTAGCTCATAACTCCCGTTTCTTGTTTGGCAACTTTGTCGAAAGTTTGAAGTGTGTGAATTCCAGAACATCATTTACACACATTTTGCAAATTTCATCAAGGTATTGCATAGCTTGGACAATTTTCATAGTTCGTTGCATTCAATTTAACGAAAGTTTCTAATTAAAAAAGTTCTTTTGTAGCTCTGTAGAGCAAAACGTTTTCACAAGTACGCACTTTTGGCTAATTAACGCTGGCAAACGGACAACATATCTGTGCCTTAAATATATATATATAACCAAATGTCCTTAAGCCAAGTGTACAACTGGCGAGCAAAGGATGTATCAAACAGTCAGTAGGCCTCTGGAGTGCGCTCAATGACTGTCATTGAGCACTTGTTTGCCTAGCAATTACAGAAGCACTTCCACTGACGCTTGAATTATAAGTGCCTACTTTTTGCTTTCTTGCCTGTGTTTAGATACTTTTAAAGGTATATTTGGAGAGAGCGAGCATTTATGCATAAAACGAAATTTTACGAAAGTCCAAATTGGAATAACCCCCTCACCCGTAACTCACTTTCTGTTTGCTTACGCAATTTGGTTAGAGTTAGAGCTGAGCATGGGGCGTGCGTGTACCTGTGTGGGCTCGTGCATACCTCACGATGAGCATGATGTTTTTGAGGCTTCGATAGTAAACAAGTCAGAAAAATTGAATACGAATGAATAAAAACTGAGCCGTGTCTATTTCGTGCTCGTGCACCCGGCACGCGCCCATCTCTAAGTCTTAGTGGAAAAGTATTGCATTGCATATTCCAAGGCGTTGCCCGAGCCGTTGACACAAAATATGCGCGCTATTTGGCAAATGCTTGGGCACGCGATGCGTTTAAAGTGTCGGCAACTGACGTAGACAATTTCAGTGGGTCGGTTGTGTTGTGGGTGTTCGGTGGGTGGTGTCTGTATAGGTAGGCGCACACGCATGAATGCATTTTGACAGACAGCACTGTTATTTCGGCTGGGTGGACGTCGGGTGTGATGCGGATGTGATATGGTGGGGTGCGACAATTTTTGGGTTTCGACTCTCGTCTTTTGAACTCATAAAAACCTGAGTGAAAAACCTTTTCAAGTGTGTCGCATAAAAATGATGCTTTTCACTTTTCGTTCGTAATGTCACTTTACCAAAAATATAACGACAAAAAAAAATATATATATGTATAAGCGCAAACGTGCCATAAAAAAATTTGCTCAACATGCGATGAATGCTCCTGTCCTGGCGCGTGCGGACGACGGCTGCGTTCAAATGAGTCGCACATGAGGCTGCAATCAGAGTGAGTAGCAGGCGACCAAAAGGAGGAGCATTTCACTGGCATTGGTAAATTTACCTCCGAGGAGAAAACAAAAAGTTGGGGCTCCGCTGGCAAGCCTTCAAATGTAATTTTGTCAAATTTGCCAAGGCGCAAAGGTCTGAGGTACGAATTCAAGATATTCTGGGAAAATTCTTTGTCTCAATGAAGTTTGATTACAATTCGTGTGTACTTGAACATGATTGTCACATTATAATATTTCGACTCTAAATTTGAGTATAAGATATTCTGGGAATATTCCTGACCTACGTGAGTTATGAGTACATGTCGTGCGTACTTCAACATGCTTGTCACATTATGATTCTTCAAATAAAACAGTCTCGAATTTATTATTGAC